TCCATGTCCCTTTAGTGTTTTGATTATTATGACGAAATCAACAAAACAAGAAACATTTTATCCTAATTTCTCAAGGCACAGTCAAATCTAAAAAAGATAAGATAGTTGTATATTTTTCACAAACTGAATACCTTTCTTTATGTTTTGACAGATTTAGATTTATTCCTCTCTCGAAGGTTTATTTGTTTTAAACCATGATTCAATTAAAATAATTTACGCCCAGAATACTTTCTAACTATTGCCAAAAAATTGACAGAAACCTTTGATTAGTGTTTAATTTTTAAGCCATGCAGAAAGAAAATGATGCCCTATGGGGGTCACGCTTTTTTACTATTTGCTTTAGACAAATTGCAATTACTGCAATTATAATTAGTTTAATTGCTGTAGACAAACTTTGTAAATATGCACAAATAACTATGATGTCACACTTCCTCAGTCACTTACTGTAGCTATATATTCCCTATAGATCCACCCAATGGCTCCCCCTACTGTTCTGTGGAGCCAGCACTGAATCACACCTCACTGAGGCTGCTCTGCTCCTGGCCTGGTGGATTCCCCTCCCCATCCCTCTACTGGACCGGAGACCTGATCCCCACAGGACAACAACAGGTCAACAAAGAACAGCAAACAAAACCAATGAGTTCAAATATCTTGCTGCCCTCCGGAGGTTTGACTCCTAACAGCAGCTTGTTTACCTGTCATGGCTCCACTCCTGCTTTAAAGCACCAGATGGAGTGTAGCATACGGACATGTAAGTCCAGAAAGCTCAGTGGAAATTGAATACAATATAAAATAGCGTGCACATCTTACCATGTTACTTCTCCTACATTAGATACTCCGCCTGGAGATCCTGTTTGTTTCGCCAATGTGTCGGATGACAAACAGTTTCTGATCCTGTCCTGTTCCTGGGAGGGAGGGCTTCCGAAAGCCTTGCTGTGGTGGAAGGGTGCAGGTGGTCAGGGCAAAGATGGAGAAGAGAGCTCGAATATCCTGATTATTCGTTACAGCACCTTTCATTTTGGGAAGCCCTACATATGCTTTGCTCAACACCCTCTTCTGGTCCAAACCAAAACCTGTGGACTAACACTGGGTCAGTGGTGATGATCACAAAAAGCCTGTGATTATGAAATCAGACAAGAGTTGCTGATGTTTTAATCTCCATCATTTCATATAATAAACATGAATAACAGAAAATAATTTCTGATAGCAAATGTTTTCATTGAGCTGTGGAAAGACATTAACTGCTACAGGTAGAGATTGACTGATAGAGGTTTATTAAGGCCGATGCTGATGGTTATTGAATGCACTGATGAATGGGCGAAAACATGCAGGTTTTGGTCGATATGCAAAACAATGTTAATATTGGTCAAAATATGGGCTAACCGATGCATCAGCCTATAGTTATATGTATAACGCACAGCAATGCCAATGTGTTCATCTGTACTACCAGAAATAATACAGTTTTTTGGAAGAGATTTTACTACTTTTATGTGTTATTGTTGAAAACCCAATTATCAGCAGAAATGAACAAGAAAGAGCAATAGTTTGTGAGAGAGAAAAAAATGATGCATATCTTACAGATTACTATAAAACATAAAAAGATAACTTAATCTTGCTTTAATGGTCAAAAAGATTAGTTGTCTTGGACTAAATATATAAAAATATATATAAAGTACATATAAACCTGTCCTATGATAAGCATAAAAATTAACTCTTTTATGTGAAATAGCTTTATAAGAAAAATATACAAAGCAAGCTTCTGCATTTTGTTTTAATTCATATTTTATTATGCACTAGTAATTTAAGGTATAGCATATATTGACAGTTATATCTTTTTTATTTTCTTCTCTGTTTTTAATCGTTGCAGTATTTGTCACACAGTTACAGCAAAAATCTTCATATTAATTCCAATCATGTGACTTTTTGATCAGTTTGTTTCATAATTCTTGATATATTTACCCAGTTTAGTTTTTTCTCTTAATTGTTGCTTTCAGCCGTGTTACCTTTTAATAATCCCTAAATATTTTGTATATTTGTGTAAAATATATAAAAAGAGTTCTTTACATAACTTCTGACTGATTTGTTGCATGATTTGTGTTTTTTTTTTTACAGTCCCTGTTAGTAAACCGTCCATCCTGATAAAAAACAGATCCCCAGTGGAAGGATCTACTGTAGCGATGCAGTGCAATGTGGAAAATGGGACTGAGCCCATCATGTATGTGTGGCAACGTGAAATTCAAAGAGAAAACATAACATTTGCTCAGATCAGCAACAGCAGCAGTATCACTATGACCAGCATAAACCGGAGCCATAGCGGCCGGTACCGCTGTGTAGGCAGCAACTTCATCAGCACTGAGAGTTCAGCCTGGGTTTTTTTGGATATTATCTGTGAGTATCAATAAGTTCTGTTTCTTTTTGGATATTTGAAGGAGTTTGAATATTTTTGGCCAATTTTTTTTTTCTTTTTTTTTGCTGTTGAGAATGTTATCATAAAGCACTTGACAAATCCTTCTTTCATCTGTGGGAATACAGGTTTATTAGTTACAAATACAAGTTTTTAAAGTTATAACACTGCAAAACAAGTACAAATCACATATTTAAAAAATGAAGCACAACTGAACATGGGTTCAAAGCAATATTTCACCAAATATATCTCATACATATTTATGTATGTGTGTTCAACAAGAAACAAATAAATATCTTAGATTTAACTACCGTATTTTCACGACTATAAGGCGCACTTAAACGTCTTTTTTCCCCCTCAAAATGTGCGGTGCGCCCTATGTGTGTTGTAACTGCGACTTTTGAGACCACCTCATTGAGGAGATGATGAAAGAGTGGCTGAATGTAAGGAGACCAGCTGTTTTTTTTCCACTCATCACCATTAATCTGTAACTCCATGCGTGCCCATCTCACAGCTGATGTGAAAAACATGGGGAAACAAATTAACCCTGTGCTCGCTGTTCAACCACTCGACATCGGTGTGAACCGGACCCAGCAGGTGCAGCAGAAGCAGCGAGGAATAACGTGTCTGCTGGCTCTGTTCTTCAAGCTTTTGCAAAAGCAGGCATTATTTCTGAGGAGCCGCGCTGCACGGAAAGTGACTCTGACAGCGCAGAAGGGGAAACTGGCATGTCTGATTTAGCGCAGCTGTTTAATTCAGAAACAGAGGATGAGGACTTTGAGGGGTTTGATTAATACTTTGTAATAAATACATGAATAAAGCACAATCATACTCAGTTTTGCTCCCGCTCTATTTTTCTACCTGAAAACTTAATTCAACAGCAGGCTCTGGTCCGCGGCGCATCCGGACTCACCTCCGCAGGTGTTTTTTCATCTAAATAATCTAAATCTTTTTAAGTGAGAAAGTCCACCTGAAAATTTAATCATTGCAGTCAGCTCATCCAGATTATTATCCTATGTTTTAAGTTAATGTATGCGTCAATAAACGAAGAAGAAGGGGAAACCGGCATGTCGGATTTAGCGCAGCTGTTTAATTCAGAAACAGAGGATGAGGACTTTGAGGGGTTTGATTAATACTTTGTAATAAATACTTGAATAAAGCACAATCATACTCAGTTTTGCTCCCGCTCTATTTTTCTACCTGAAAACTTAATTCAACAGCAGGCTCTGGGCCCCGCATCCGGACTCACCTCGGCAGGTGTTTTTTCATCTAAATAATCTAAATCTTTTTAAGTGAGAAAGTCCACCTGAAAATGTAATCATTGCAGTCAGTTCATCCAGATTATTATCCTGCCTATGTTTTAAGTTAATTTATGCGTCAATAAATTGTATCAGAGGAGTAATCACAGCCCTGTGTCATCAGCGATGTGTCTCTCATGGCCAGCTCCCAGGTTTTAATAATACTTTGTAATAAATACACCTTGCAGCTTTATTTGCTGTGATCAGTGGGAATAAAGTAGTTTTAATATGTTTTTAAGTGGGAAAATCCACCTGAGAGGACATGTACCTGTATATAAAAAACGCGCCCTATAGTCCGGTGCGCCTTATGTGTGTGTTAAATACAGAAATGGGACACATAACTGAGAGTGCGCCTTTTAGTCCGGTGCGCCTTATGGTCGTGAAAATACGGTACATATTTTGAGTAAAATTGACAAATCTAGGCACCTACGCATACATTTCTATTGATAGTTATCCTACTCTTATCCCATAGTTAACACAGTTATCAGGTGCGGTTAAGATATGAACTGCTTCATACATATTTAGCACCAAGTCAGTTCAAGACTCCATGTCCCTTTAGTGTTTTGATTAATATGACAAAATCAACAAAACAAGAAACATTTAATCCTAATTTCACTTCAAGGCACAGTCAAATCTAAAAAAGATAAGATAGCTGTATATTTTTCACAAACTGAATACCTTTCTTTATGTTTTGACAGATTTAGATTTATTCCTCTCTCAAAGGTTTATTTGTTTTAAACCATGATTCAATTAAAATAATTTACACCCAGAATACTTTCTAGAGAGGAAAAACTCCCTTTTAACAGGAAGAAACCTCCAACAGAACCAGGCTCAGTGTGAGCGGCCATCTGCCGAGGCCGACTTGGGTTTTAAGAAGCTTTCCAGTACATACAATACAGTTTTTATAATGTTTAGCTGGAGATTTCAGGAAGTTGACTTCTACGTTCCAGGAAAGCACTGACAAACTGTCTTGGTACTGTAAGGGAGCCTTCCTAGGTCACTGCATATTACAGACTGGCTCCTGGAAGAAGATAATAGTATGTCAGTTCTGGAGAAGTAAGGTTCCAGTTCCATGGAAGTGATGGTAGGTTCCATAAGCTAACCGCTAGATTCAAGGAAAGTTACCAGGAATTTCTCCAAGTTCCAGGAAAAGATCTTGCAAGTTCCAGAAATTAATATTTGAAAACTGGTACAGCCGGTTTTATCCACATTAAAAATATGCTTTTTCGCAAACTCTGATGCTATTTTCAATATACAATATTCATGTCTTGATTGTGCTCATGCTCTTTTTTTCTCAGTTGGCCCAGATGTCCCTCAGATAGATGTGACTCCATACCAGATAACCGATCGAGGATACTCAGCTCTGGAAACTGAGTCGGTATCTTTGTCATGTCAAGCCCAGTCCAATCCAGCCAGCCAGTACATTTGGTTCTACAACAACTCCCAGGTGTACACCGGGCCAAAGTACACCATTACTAAGATCCTCCGTATCCACACTGGCGACTACACCTGCTTGGCACAAAACTCCCACTTAAATACCCGCTCCAGGAAAACTGTCAGCCTTATAGTCCACTGTGAGTGTGATGTCTGAAACTATGCTGCACCAAACTAGAATACATGTCAATGAGAAAATTAATTATTAACCTACTGCACATTTTGAGAAAGACAAAGTAAGGCTTTTTCCTTTTTTGTTTGTATCAAATTACTCTAAATCTGTGATGCAACAAGGACACACCTAAAATATGCAGGACAGGGGTCCCTTAGGAACCCCTGTTTTAAAGCCTGTTGGTTAGAATAGCAGTTCCTGATTTTCTGTTTTTTCTTTCTATTTTCTATGCTATGCTAGAAAAGTTGATTTGAAGCATTTGCTTGATTCAGTGATCAAATACTAAGATCATGATTAAAGCCTCAATAAATCCACATGGAACTGATCTCTAAACCATGGATGCTTGCAAGTAAACAATTACTTCTTTCCAATCTACATTGGGCTTGAGGGAAAATTCTACATACTCGCTTATTAACATGATGGCCTTAATTAATTATTGACAGCAGGGAAATGCTGTTTACAGGGGACAGGGAAATACAGAGTTGTGTTTCATCTAAATCTATAGGATAACAGATCATGTAAAATTCATTGGACTGCATAAAAAGTGACCCTTTTGATATTAAAGAAAAGTGGTCTAGGAATAAAACCCTGAGGAACTCCATAAGGTGTGCTTTAATTAACATTTACAACTCGCAAATGACTCAAAGTTGCTCCAGTCTGCTACATACAGCGTATGTACAGCACACGACGAAATGCTCTTATGTCAAAATGGAGGTGTACATAAAAATGTATATATCCTTACAGGTTGGTAATAACATGCAAATAATACTACAGAGTTTATTATCCCTGTTTTGGCTCCCTGTTTAATATGCTTATCAGTGTAACTTATTTGCTATTTTCCAGTACCTGGATTTCTTAGAAAAAGAATTATTACATTCGTCTTGCATAGTTAAAATAATCCTTAAAAGCAGCCAAATGCAAATGTATATTGTACTTCTAAAAGTCAACTGTAATACATATTTAGACAAATATATTGTAAACAGTGAGAACTTTTTTTTTTTTTTTTTGCTGTGAAATTGTCTTATTAAAGGGTTTTGGAAATCCTAATTAAACTCCATTAATAGCTATTTTTAAGAATTTATCAGTTTTTTCCCCCCCTCAGACCCTCCAGATGGCTCTCCCTCTTGCTCTGTGGAATCAGCTCAGAATCACACTTCTCTCCGGCTATTCTGCTCCTGGGCCGGTGGATTTCCCTCCCCATCCCTCCGCTGGACTGGAGACATCATAAAACCAGGACAAGAACAAGTAGAAACTGAGCAGCGAGGTAATCTGCAAACCAGCTCTGCCATTTTGCTGACCTCTGAAGGCCTGATACAAAACAACAGCTTGTTCACATGCCTTGGTGCGCATCCTGCAAGAAAACAGCTGGCAGAATGCAGCACACAAACATGTAGGTAAAAAGTTTACAAGAAATAAGCAAAGCTGACAAGCAGGAGATGGTAATGCTGTAAAGTTTATTCTCTTGTAGATCTCCCCCCTGCAGAACCAGTGTGTTTTGCATATGTTACAAACAATCAGCAATATCTGATGCTGTCCTGTTCCTGGGATGGAGGGGCCCCAAAAGCCTTGGTGTGGTGGGAGGGACCAGGGGGACAAAGCAAAGGAGGACAAGAAAACTCCAACATCCTAGTCCTCCGTTATGGGACCGCCCGAAGTGGGAAACCGTATACCTGTTATGCTAAACATCCACTTCTGATGGAAGCAAAGAGCTGCAGGCTCACATTGGGTCAGTCCCTTTCAATGTCATGTGCAATAACAAATAAGGATTATATCTTTCTAATGCTTAATACATTTTTTTATAGAGGCCCCTGTGTTGCTGACGCAGCGCAGAGTCGTGTCTGTATACGAGGGGAGTGACGTACAGCTCACCTGCAATCTAAGAGCCAATTACCTTCCAACCAATGATATCACCTGGTTCAACAATCAAGGCATAGATGTCAGAGACACCTCAAAGTACATGCTGCTACGAACAACCGGCTGGGCCAACCTGACAGTGAGAGACGCAGATGAGATGCAGGACAGCGGAGAGTATAGATGCTCCACTTCAAACGCAGTGGGAGGCGCTGAAATCAATGTAACTCTGGTGGTCAAGAGTAAGAACCTGATTTTAATCTCTCTTGAAAAGAATGTTTCCCTCTGGGAGTTTTTTTATGTATAGAAAAATTATTGAGAGTGCATATTTTCTTTTCTTTTGCCTTTGAATCAGAATACCCTATGCCACCTAATGCAACCCTGATCAGAGCGACGTACAACAGCCGACATCGTAACGAGGTGGAGCTGGAGTGGCAGGTAGATGGTGTGGAGGAGAAAGGAGGTTGGACTGGTTTCCATCTGGAACACCAGTGGGTGTCTGAGCGACCAAACAAAAGAGGAAGCAGCAACGAATCCCAGCTGAGGATGGAAGAGAGGATTGGTCCCCAAGACTGGCAGCGCACCATCATCCAGGAACCAGATGCCAGGAGTCACACAGTAAGAGGACTGACTCCAACTGTTACCTACCAGTTCCGCATAATACCCATCAACCATCGCACGATTGGACACCCCTCTGTAGCCAAGACTCCAGGTAGCAGACACATTTTTGATTTTACTGGCCCTTTTGCTATGAAACAGCTTATCTATAGAATATTTTTCCTGTATGTCTTCACTGGCTTATTATTTTGTCTTCTTTCAATACATCTCTTAACATTTCTGTTTTGTATATATAATCACAGAAATTTTGTTTAATGTGTTGAAACGCTTAAGATGGACCTATATGGATAGGATAAAGAAGGTAGCTTAATAATCAAAAGGTGTTTTACATAAATTAGCAAATTATTTCAGGATTTGCTTTATTCCCCAAAATGAGATGATGATGATATTTCTCATTCAACAACACACAGAAGGTTTCTCATTTTCTAACTAAGACATATGCTGAATGTTACAGCTGGAGATTATCTTTCTTGGAATTTAATGTGTTGAACTTACCTTTTGTTTTTCTTGCAGCTGAATTGCGTGACAACATGTACCCTGCTGTGGTTGGAGCAGCCGTTGGCGGGATGCTGTTTGCAGCCATTCCCACTGTGCTGTTACTTGTGTACATCATACGCAACCGTAACAGCAATCCTCGTGAGTCCACATCAAAAGCTCTTTAAAAAGGTTATAAGCAGTAGATATTTTGCAGTAACTCTGGCTTTTGTATACACTGTGTATACAAAATTATAAAAAAAAGTTGTCTAAATCTAAAGTCTTTATCTTTATTTTGTATTAATTCACTTTAGATAATCTAGTCTAAGAGAGCCAAATACCAACATGCACATCTATTACTTTATGAACATTTCAGCAATTGCCTCATTTGAACTGGGTGATTGTTTGCAGAGACGATGATTAGATAAACAGAGAGGAGGAAGAAGTCTGACGCAAATAATAATGACAATGATTTTAGCAATAAGATAAGAAAAGGTTTGAGGCAGAAAAATTATTTGTCCAACACCTTCAAAATCCCCCTTTGCAAAGAGGATGCTGATTTAAACATGCATGATTGAAACATGCATGAACCCAATAGTGTTTTGGGGACTGGAGTTGCTTTATCATGGTAAAAGTTCAATTTGGTCTCGGACTGTCTTTGACTACCCCTTAGATGCTGCTATAAAGAAGTACTGATTTAGATTTATGCTAAAACAATAAGGGTCCTAACTAGTGTAGAAAACATATGAACTGCTTGCAACCTTTTAATGGAGCCTCACTTCAATAATCCTAAACTAGCACTTCAATACAGACAAAAGAAAATGTGCTCTATATTAATGCTTTGTTTTCTTTCCTCAGGGCTTCACGCAATGCTGTTTGGGTCGTGAGTAATTAACCATTTACCGTATCCATGGAGAAATCAACCTGTTTATCCAAAAAAACATCCCTATGAGAATATTAGACCATCAAAATTCCTAAAACTCCTTTTATTGTACTTTAGAAAAGTTAGACATTGTTTAACAGTCTTGCTCTAGACTAGACCAGACCGCAACAAATTTATGGGAATATTACCAATGAGTTATTAATTTTCATTTGAAATAAATATATCTGCAAACCCATAATTTCTGTTTTTTAAGGCACTAGTGGCTCGTTTTTTCAACAGTAGGCTGACAGCAAAGGGGCTATGAGAGATGGGGAGAGACCCCGAGAACCCAGGTCGCCCGCATCGAGGACTAAGGCCTCTGTATATGGGTTGTGCACGTTTACCACTGCACCACCTGCATGCCCAACTCATCATTTCTTGACAGAATAGTTGCATTTCACTATCCTCGTGATAAATTTTTTTGGTCCATGCCTTGTCTGAAGGGACATTTATTTTATATTATTATATTTTAAATGATGTGATTTGATGATTTCATTTGGGATCTACAGTGTAGGTACAGTTATTATATTAGTCTGGGATCAATAAGACTTGTACTTTTTAATCTCATGAACCTTTAATTATCTAGAAAGGCATTAAATTAGTTTCCGCTTGCGATTTCAGGCAGCACAGCCAGTCAAGGGAAAACATTAACTTCCCAGAAGACGAGGTGGCTGCTAGCTCAGACGGTGGACCAGAGAGCATCGCTGGATCATTGAGTCAAGGCAAGAAAACTTCATATCAACCACATTTTGGTTACATCTAAGGAGATACTCTAAATGTGATCAAACTTTAGAAACTAGGTGATTAGGCACAATCTGGAACAATAGAGAACCCACTCATATACCTGATACTGAGGCAAGTTATGCTTTTTCTTTAGGTAAAACTATCGCAGAACCACAAGTATCATCTTCTGTCTCAGCTTCATCCTCATCAAACAAACAAGGATCTCCCACTGCAGATGAAATGAGCCAAGAATCGCCATCTTCTGCAGGGCTGCAAGATTGTAATCCTACATGAATCTAACCGATTTAGAGATATTGGAACCCAATATTAATTTTACAGGCTGTAGAAAGAGTGTGTGATTACATCAAGATATTGCATTACTGTGTGAGCAATTTAAAGTAAGAATTGATTTGTTTAGGTAGTAAAAACAGTTTAATTTTGTAGCCAACTATTCTGGAATTACAGAAAAGGGTGCAAAAAAACTAAACCAGAAATATGAAATGTATATCAGATGTGTTAAAAATAAAACGAAATAAGGTAATTAAGTTGTTTCAATAAATAAATGAATTGCTGAAAGAGGGTTATATGTTGCTTTTTCCCCCATAAAAAAAAACATATAAGTGTATTTGTTATGTTTTTATTCTCATTGTACAACAGGGAAAGTTGTTTTAAAGACTCTGACTGGGTCAAAAGGTAGAATATAATTTTGAAATTAACTCATGTCTGAATCAAAGACCAGAAAGTTTAACTTATACCTGCTATGTACTCTCTCTGTTGGAATTTTAAATGAGTTGTTTTAATTTATAATTATATCCATGGAAAATGTTTTCTCCATTGCACCTGCAGAATTTCATTGGAATAAGAAAGACACCCCCATATTTTAAACCCAATAGTTTTACTTCCAAATCCAGACTAGATTTGTATCACTTTAAATCATCTAATGATCAGAAATCTCAGTTAAGAAGTTACAAGTGGTATTACTGCACCATTTTAAAAGCATATCCAAATTTTTTTTATAGTTTGTCTTCTATAGTTGAAAAAAAAATCTTAATTTCTCCCACACTATGTGTTAGACCCCATTTGAACAGAAGAGGAAGCAAAACTATCTGTTCTCCCTTGCAAGGATTAATAAATGCTGCTTGAAATGAAAAGCACTGATCTTGATTTCTTGGTAAATAAGACATATGCTCTGTTCGAAAACCTAGGATGCGTCCTTAGAAGGCCAGATTCGAAGGACGATTAGGTCATCACGCGGCGCCGAGGTCTGGTCGGATTTCAAGACTCCTCGTTATGCGGCCTTAAAATGCATCCTTCTTTTTGCCCGATTTGAAGGACGGGTCCGATGTATCCTCGGTATCCTTGGATATCCCAGGATTCATTGCGAGACCAAGCAAGCCGTGATCAGAGGAAAGGTTACTTGGCGCCGAACAGTGGTGAAAATTGGAAGTTCTGTTTAATACAATACAAGTCAGTGAATGGTTCCGTCTGAGATGAATGAAAATAGTTGTTTTAATGGTTATTGAGGCAAATATGTGGCGGTAATGTTTAATTTATCTAAAGGTTTTTATCTGTTACTGTGTAAATGGGTTTGGCTGTAATTTAAGGACAGATTCTAATATATCTGCAGAATAGGGACTATAAATCTGATAGGATTTTTATCTTTTTATTGCTGTTTTGCACAATATGCTTAACTAAATATTTTTTGTTGTTAAATATTAGAGATTTTGCAGATAATTTTTTATACATACATTGTTTAGATTTACTTATATCTTTCTACCCCTTTTATAGAATAGAAAATCCCTTTATTGTCCCACAATGGGCAGATTTACAGCGGCAGAAAGATTATTGAAAATGGTCACACAAATGAGAAAATGTATAAGAATAACATAATAGGGAAGAGTTAAACAAAAAAACAATACAATTCTGTAAAGTGCTTTAACAATATAAAACTGGAGAATAAATAACCAATTAGCAGCTATGGACATTTTTACAGTAATGGATATTTGAAAATAGCAGCAACATCAGAGCTGTGCAAAATGACAGCAGCATGTTATTTAACTGACTTAGGTTTCTATCATTACATTTGATTTTATTTGTTCCTGCTCCCGGCTGTTGAAACATTTATTCCACTCTGGATTCTTGTTAATGTAGTCTTTGTTCACTTTACAATAAAAAAGAAATAAATAAACAAACAGTTTTGAAAATTGCGGTTTTCATTATTTTCCTGCTTTGTGTGTCACTTTCACGGTTGCTAAGCAACAGAGCTTATGGCGGTAAAACCCGCCGAAGGGTAGACCTGTTCGAATTCACAGCCAAAACTCTTCCGGTCTCCTTATTTTCAAGGACTTCGAAGGATCCAGTCTAAGTAGACCGCGTCCTTGGAGGATGCAGCCCAGGTTTTCGAACAGAGCCATAGACTATTTTTTACTGAAAACAGTAGTTTTCAACAAAATGCAATGCTTTTAAAATAAAGAGAAACTAAATTAAGGACCTCAAAGAGAAAGAACAGAAGGTCTAAATTTTGTACTTAAACAAGAGCTGTTTAGCCAGTATGGATTTTCCGCCTACATACTGTTGTTTTGTAAGGCTCTCAGAGGGGAAGGAAAAAGATATCTAGCTTTACAATATCTAGCTACCGGATTAGATCTCTATAATCATTGTGACAAAGTGTTAAGAGTCAAAGAACAAAAAAAAAAAACAAAATGTAATATTAGGTAGCTAATGAAGTATGGTTTGATTTGAATTGTAATATCTAAGTAGTTTTGAGACCAATGAAACAATTAGCAAAATTCATGGAAATCTCTTAAACGAAATTAAAAACCCAGATACACCAAGGTTTAAGAAAAAGGTAAGCAATGTTTTTACCTTATTTCTCTATTTCACAGGTATAAAGTAGAAAAAGCAATGGATATTAAAATGCAAATACGTATAAGTTTTTAAAGACAGGCTTGTTTGCGATTAAAGTATTCTTGATCCACTTTATGGTGAACTCAAACAATCAATTTCCCTCTAGGTCACCTTAATGATTGATCAGAAAAGTTGGTTAACACTATTTGGAAATCTGCATTTACAAGATTTTATGAACACTAATCACAATGTACCAACATTTTTCAGGTTATTTTTATTTGGTATATTATTTATGTACCAACAGGAAAATTAAAGAGTACTACATCTGTATTTTCCAGGTAAATCACAGAAGAAAGATCTGATTTTGATCTATCCTTTGCAAAAGAATCTATATTTATTTATGAATGGATGCTGTCTAAATCATTTAATCATTTATGGTTCTGCATTATGAGTACATTGAATGGTTGGCTTGGCTATGGTCAGTAATTGGATAGGAGTGGACCTCTAACTGCACCCCTGCAAGTGAGTGAGTCATTAAAGTTTATTTTAAAAGATAAAAACATTTTAAAATATGTTTAAAAAAATACTTAAAAGGGACAATAAAATAAAAAGAGAAGTACAATTTTATAAAATATTTTATGTCTGTTTGTCATGGTTGTGTGGAGGTTTTTGAGGACCCAAATGCAGAGATGAGAAGGCAGAGATGAGTTTGTAGATTTATCCATTACTGTAAAAATTTTCATAGCTGGATATTGGTTAAGTATTCTCAAGTTTTATATTGTTAAAACACTTTACAGTATTTTAGTGTTTATATTTTAACTCTTCCCTATTATGTTATTCTTATACATTTTTCTAAGGTCCTCATTTGTGTGACCATTTTCAATAATCTTTCTGCTGCTGTAAATCTGCCCATTGTGAAACAATAAAGGGATTTTCTATTATATTCTATAAAAGGGATAGAAAGAGATAAGTAAATCTGGGGGTAGGAGTTAATAAGTTTTCACTTCTTCCTACCCCATTTTTGAGCATGATATGTCAATGGAAACAAATATCTGTATTTTTCTTTTCTTTTTTATGCACTGCTTGTTACTGTGCACTATTTTATTTTTTTATATTTGTATCATGTTCAAATAAATCTCATTTCAAACAATGTATGTATAAAAAATATATCTGCAAAATCTCTAATATTCAACAACAAAAAATACTTAGTTAAGTATATTGTGCAAAACAGCAATAAAAAGATAAAAATCCTATCAGATTTATAGTCCTCACACTGCAGATATATTAGAACTTGTCCTTAAATTACAGCCAAACCCATTTACACAGTAACAGATAAAAACCTTTAGATAAATCAAACATTACCGCCACATATCTGAATCAATAACCATTAAAACAACTATTTTCATTCATCTCAGACGGAACTATTCACTGTCTTGTATTATATTAAACTGAACTTCCAATTTTCACCACTGTTCGGCGCCAAGTAACATTTCCTCTGATCACGGCTTGCTTGGTCTCGCAATGAATCCTGGGATATCCAAGGATACCGAGGATACATCGGACCCGTCCTTCAAAACGGGCAAAAAGAAGGATGCATTTTAAGGCTGCATAACCTCGGCGCCGCGCTATGACGTAATCGTCCTTCAAATCTGGCCTTCTAAGGACGCGTCCTAGGTTTTCGAACAGAGCAGAAATGAAGAACAGAACAAAGGATGGGCTAAAGAGCTGGATGTGGAGCAGGTGTGAATGGAACTAACTAGATGGGAGCCAAAAGGGAAGGGAAACAAGCACAAGGGGGCAACAGAGAGTAACTCAAGAACTCACATCCAGAAACAACTACAAACCCAAAACAGAGGGCAGAACCCTGACACTGTTATCTTATTTTAAGTTTATCAACTCAGAAACATTTTATGATAAATGATTGCCTCCCACCTCTTGAATTCTGGTAAGTTATTAAGGTTTAGAGAAGCAAAATATCATAGCCAAAGCCATAATGCTCCACTTGTAAAAGCAAAGTGGAGCATCCCCATCATGCTCCCTTTTCCCATAAGGCTTCTTCTTCTACTTAGACAACAATTCTGAGTGCTACACTCAGCTGCTCTTGGAGGAGAAAATTTGAAAAGGTATTCATGATAAATAAAATTTGCTAAATTTTGGGTTGTTACAGTTAATTAAAATAAACTTCAATCTTGTACAGTGTCAAAACAAAGACGACTAACATGTTTACCACTTTTTATGTTATATATTTTTTAATTTTATACTGGTATCAGATACAGGCTGAAACCTTGTGGAGCTATTAACCTGAATGTCGAGTCTGTGCTTGCCCTTGCCAGGTGAGGGAAACTGATCTCTGTCCTGCATTCATTCATTAAAAACATCTCAGGTTACGTTCTCACAGATCCACTTAACAGAAACTCATCCTCTTTCTCTCGTGTAAGCATTCTAAGTCTTTTTTTAATAAGAGTTTGCATGAAGGTAAACAAATACATTAAGGGTTATCTTTAAAGGTAAGAATGTAAAGCGGTGGATGATGGAAATGCGAGCTCACTCAGAGAAATATGATCAGAAGCCAGATTTTTCTAATCCTAATCTGATGGGGAAAGTCTGCCATGCCCTTTTAGTCTACCCTGACCCTAGAGATGAAACCTTCTGTACATAATACAGTCAGCAATGGAGATAACAGACAACAGCATTTTTAGTCAGTCATTCTTACTAGTATTATTTAAATTTAATTCAGTTTATTTGTATAGTGCCAATTCACAATATATGTAATCTCAAGTCACCTTACAGAGACAATTCAATTAATTTGCAAAGTCACTTGTTTCAAAGTTTGCTATCTAAGGAAAACCTTTGATAGACCTTAGTGTAGAATATGGTATATTTTTGGTTTTTATGAAGTCAGTGAAATAATTAATTAGCCTGACGTAGTCCGACTCAATTCTAGTCAGAATATGAGTCTGATACTGCTCCATAGAGCTGTGATTATGGGGCGTGTTTTGAACGAACCAGGAAAAAAAATGCCTCTGCACTCAATTGGATAGACCTACAACCAATAAGAGCAACGGAGTGCGTGACGTATCTTAAGCGAGGCATAGTTGTTGTCCACAAAAATCAAAGCGTGCAGTTTCACGCCTATAATAAGAAGATGAGACTTGATCGCGTTTCTCTGTTCCTCTTTTAAAATTAATTTGCTGTCGATATCTTCTAGAACAGACCTAATAGCAGAATCTACTCACCTAAACTCTCCAGCGGCAGCCATTATTGTTGTCACCCAAGCGCGCTTTGGTCACGTGGTTGATAACGTTACTCTTGATCATCTGTCCATCATCGTATAAAGCCCGCCCTGACAATTTGATTGGATCGCCTGACAGTGGGCTTTAATACTCGCGCTACTATGGAGCAGAGCCAGACCGAACTTCCCCGAACTCAAACCTTGTGGGCGGGACTAAGTTCGGACTGGCACCCAGGCTAATAATTAATACTTGTATTCAATTAAATTCAAAAATACTTGATTTATACCACAGAGAAATTAAATGTTGTTTTCACTCATCAGCTTTTTTTTCTTCAACAAGTTGTTCTAGAAGTCAATAGCTCCAGGGAGGAAGGACATTCTGTAGAGGTCTGTCTTGCACTGGATCTGGAGAAGCCTCTGACTGAAGACAATCCATTGGTGTTTAAAGGTCTTCTGAGGGTTCTTGCCAATACCCATAATGTTCTTTATTTTATGAAGAATTATTCTTTGTAAAATGATCTCCAGAGGTTATTGAGGAATTCCTAAAACAGAGCTGCTCTTCTTTATCAGCTTGTTAAGCCTCTTTAAGTCATTTTCTTCACTGCTGTTACCCAAGCAGATGATGGCAGAAGAGATCACACTCTCCACAACAGACTAATATAAAACATGCAAAGTTGTGCAACTATAATATATGTATTTCCCACCACAGTAGGGGTGGTAAATATGTTATTTAATCAGATAATATCCAGACTGTCATGTTGTTTATTAATACCAGCCTTACAGGATGTGTGTCAGAACAATAAATGAAAGTGTGAATCAAGCTCAAATCATCGTCAAACAGATAATTCTGCTTATATATGGAATAAATTAACCACAACTTCCATTCAAATATAACATTTCAGTTAAGAAATCTTGAACAAATTTGTGAAACTCAACTAAACTAAACCACTATGTGCAGAAAGAAGAAGGGAAAACATGGTTGAAAACCATAATCAATCAAATGATGCAATAATATCACAGTTTAACACGGATTTTATGTTTGAGGACCAAGGTTTTGTCTTTGGAACATGGTCAAATTAGCTTTTGGCTAATTTAGAACAACTGCAATGTTTTCCAACCAATTCACAATGAAAATCAGACTAAATAAAGTATATTTGACATATTCATGTCAGAAGCTAATACCTTTAGTTAAATGATTCTTTACCATCCCTTCCCTGATTGAGCTAGTAGCTAGCAGACATGAGGACTCCTATTAAATGACTTTTTGGTCATAATTTGTTTATAAAATCATTTCTATTAATCCTGATAGATTGATGGATATATAAATAGATAGACAGATGGAAGAGGTAGGTAGGTACAGAGAGAGACAGAGAGACGGCAGACAAACAGATAGATCAGGGTCATTTATGTCTTTCATCTCTTCCCCCATAACCTTGAATTTAATACATATTACTTAGTATGTAATGAATTAGATCTGATTCTAAACATTTAGTGTCACCGGCACCATCTACGAGCTCCATAATGTTCCTGAACTGCACAAGCAAGGTGTCATGTTCACAAAGATTATGTAAAGGTGAAAAGGACTGGGCAGGGAGACACTGCAATGCACGCTAGTTCATGCACATCTAGCCACAATTCTGTTTGTGAAATATGGAGATTCACTTCAGGCGATTATGTAGCGTAGTAAAGAACAATTTAAATATGTTTAAATATGATGATAAACTTATGAATCTGTTCTTAAAAGGCAAGGCAAGGCAAATTTATTTGTATAGCACAATTCAGTACAAAGACAATGCAAAGTGCTTTACATGTTTAAAATACAGGAAAATAAAACAGAATCAAAGCAAGTAGGAAAAAATTTAATAAAAAAAAATGCAGAAACAAAAAAGAAGATTAAAAACAGTTGGGCTAAAGAAAATAAAAAATTTGAACTAATGATGATTAAAAGAACCAACGCCTTTGTGAGATAGAGGAAAAACAATCCATAATTTATACAAATATTTATACAAATATATTTTCTCTTGTATTCAGCACCCTTTGTACTGATGGTCGTATTAAGATTCACCTTTTAATAAACAACACTATAAAGCAACTCTGAGTAGCTACAGAAATGCACTGATCAGGAAGGACAATCTTTGCCAAAACAGCTCTCAGTTATGCCCTCAACTTATGTGTCCTTTATGTTACAGTAAAAAAACGAAAAACTGTTGCTTTAAGAAAGCCAAATTTTATATATTTAATGTTTTTTTTGTGTGTGTGTGTGTAAATCATGCAAAATGAAGATAAAATATTTAGACAGGGCTCTAGTGAGATGATGTCAAAATTAACATTTTCAGTTTGGATTTTTAACCCTTCCCCCTGGAAATATTATGCCTTAGAAGCCAAAAGGAAGTAGCTGCATCATGCTGTGGGGATGCAGCAAGGACAGGGAAGCTGGTCAGGACTGATGGTAAGACATAGATTTAGCAGAATAAACTGCTGAAAATTATATTCTTAAAAAATGAAAAGAAAAAAAAATAATTAACCCTTGTCCATCTATTGATTTGTACAGTTATCCGCTGCTTTGTGGATGTCTCTCTAGTAATACCTCAATAGAATGCATCAAATTTTGTGATTGATTAGGGGGTTTGAACATTTTCACCAGGCAAAATAATCCAGGAATACAAAGAAAACACTTCCTGTAAATATATTGGGTAAAATGTAATGTTTGTTTATGTGTTGTTAAGTGACACAAGAAAAGGCTCTTTTTATAACCATAGATGTAAGATTTGTATAATTCGGCTCCTGGCTTTGTCTTATTTAAGATGCATGAGTGTATGTGGAAGAGTAACCCTATGAGTTAGTCCTACATAATGCAAGAGTCCAGTATCACAGTGTCATTCTAGCCCCACAGAGAACCACAGGCAGCATGAGAGAAAGGAAAAACACATCAATAATTGAATCCAAATCAGTCCCTTCCTACTCTCAGCCTAATAAAGTCATTGTCCTTCAATTGGACTCTTCAAGACACCAGTAGAGAAGAGCGGCAGACAGCAACGGAGTTTGCAGGTTGTTTTTAAGGGTTATCTTTTTGTTTGAGAGCCTTAGTATTTCTTGGAGTAAAGAGGAAGCTGGACTCAGGCTCATCATGATACCATGGTGGCCAAACTGTTAGGGCTGGCCTTTCTTTATCTCACCGCCAGTCCATTCGCCTTTACTGCTCATGGTAAGAAATCCATCACATTTGGATTTTTATACAAACACAAATGTACTTTTTAAAATGATTTTTAGACAGTTAAAATGTGATGCCTTTACATATAGTTTTACTCATGTCAGAATCAGAATCGGGTTTATTGCCATTGTTAGTGAAGAAGTTCACAACTAGGAATTTTTTGTGGTACAGTCGTGCAACATGAAACATATATGAAATAGTAAATAAAATTATAAAAATCTCTAAAAACACTAGGGTATAAGGCATGCAAAAAATATACTAATATATACACTTAAGATAAAAATATGGATAAATATAAAAAGTAAAATGTACAAGGTAGTGCAAATAGATGTTAATTTGATATTAATGGCATAATTTTTATTATGTTAATTTTTAAGTTTATTTGTTAAGTAACCTATGAAAAATTTGATTCTTATTACATTTTAGTAAATAACATATTTCTAAAGATTGTGAAATAAAAGAAAAACAAAAGCCACTATCCATACTGTAAATCTTACGCTAATCTTACAAAGCTAATCAAACATAGCATTTTTTTTATTGTAATTATATATATATTTCTTTTTATCGCTTTTTATTACTTTCATTACTTTCATTACTTTACTTTCATTTACATTTTAATATAAGCTCTGTTATATTAGTTTTGCTACACGTGCATATGAATAAAACATAGATTGGTTTGGTTTTAGAGAGTTGAATAGTTGAAAGAGCTAAAATATTTTCTTAGTCACATTTGGCAGTAAAGAAAAAGGACATTGTCAACTTGTTTCTGAATCCTGTTCTGTATCGGACCCCTATCGAAACTTGCAGTGTAACCAATCCTGCAGCAGAACACCAGCAGGGTACATGACACCAACGTGTTCTTTCCCCTTTGCAGGCAACCCAGTGTATCCTGTCCCAACTTCATCTGTAAAGATCAATCCAAACTGGGAGGTGGTCTACCAGGACACTGATGTTTATGGTGTGGTGAACAAAGCTGTGATCCTGGAATGTGGCACCACTGTCCCTGATATATACATATGGAGCTTCACCAAGCCTGGCACTGACGCCATCAAAGCAGTGGTCTATAATCTGGGGAAAGGGCCGAGGATTCAGCAGTTTGCTGAAACTCTTGGAAAGTTGACGATCATCTCAAACAGTGCGGCAGTGAGCATCGAGAAGCTGCTTCTGGCTGCTCATGGCCTGTTCACCTGCCAGGCCTTCTACAATATAGATAAAGAGCCTATAGTCTACTATTACTACGTTCATCTCACTGTCAGAGGTACGATTCTCAACTCAAATTACGTTTCTTCGTTAAGCAGTGGTATACGTAACAGGCTCAGTTTTTCTTGTGTACTCTGACACTTCTTCTAGATTATTCTACCAGTTAAATCATCTGTTCAGGTTTATCTATACCCTAAAAAGTTTGTCTAATTGATCTACTAGCAAAATGTGACTTTTTTGACTGAAATCAAGTGATGTGGTTTAAGGATAATTATTTTTCCATGCTGTCCTTTTTTTGTGACTTTTTTTGAAAACACGTCAAAAACATATGAGTGTTTTTGTGATACTATTTTTTTTGTTTTTGTTTGAGGAGAATTCAAAGAGGCAGGGAAATTTTATTTTCCCTCTTTTTTGTCAAAGGTTTCAATATTCAAGCAAATGTTAAGGTCGAACAAAGATGTGCATAGAAAATGCAAAAAGACAAAAAAAACACTATCAGGTAGTTTTAAAGAATTAACAGTGTTTAGGAGAGCCTAACGCATCTTAATTGAAGTTACGTACAGCCATCCCAGAACTTTAATTTTATTTATTTATTTTTGAACAACAAAGATATCTAAGATATAGACTTGCTAGTGTGTTTTGGGTGATTGTCCTGATGCATGAACTTTAAGTTTACAACTTTTGAAAAGGTATGATGGATTCCAAGATGAACTGCCTTTCAATAAGTTTAGCAAATCTGCTTGTGTGATTTGTATTTATCATATCCTTTACAAAAACTTTAAGTCAAAGAAAACATATTGTGAAACAATAATGTGTAATGGTTTTGAACCAAAACAGAGTTTTAGTGGTGATGAAAATGAAGTTTAGAGCTACTTTTTCGTTCAATTTATTTTTTAATTATCAACAGAATAACCAGTTTTTCAGTCAAAACTTAGATATGATCTTTAAATGTTCTGTGAAACATTTCCGGAAACCGTAAATTCTGGTAAAATTGACGTACAAATTCAGACTTTTTATACCATAAAATGAACGAAAAATTACTGCTGAGCATGAAAGGGACAGGATTTATGGACTGCCGGCAAAGTGAAAACACATTGTGATAAAAATGTTCATCTGTATGTCTCCCTGTCTTTTTCTTTGACACAGTCCCTGTCAGTAAGCCTTATCTTTTGCTAAGTGATGTGTCTCCAGTGGAGGGATCCACAATGTGGATGCAATGCAACCTGGAAAATGGGACCGGGCCAATTCAGTATGTATGGCAGCACGAAACGCGCAGCGGTAACATCACAGTTGTTGCCCAGGGCAGCAGCAGCGCCATCAACGTGACAGATATCAACCGAAACCACACTGGCTGGTACCGCTGTGTGGCCACCAATGCTGTCAACAGTGAGAGCTCTAACCGCTTATGGCTGGACACCATATGTGAGTGCTAGAAACTTTCATCTATCATTATAATCATGTTATATTTTATTTAATTCCTATAAAAAGTATCAGCATGTTTGCATTTTCACAATGACAGATATTTTTATGAAATATTTTGCTATATTCTTCAGAATTTTGATATTTTACAGCCACAAACATCAGTGTTTTTTGTTGTTATTTTGTATAATAAATCAACAAAAACTATCATATAATTCCTAATAAGGTAATGAGAAGATGGGCGAAGCCAAAAAGAGGAAATTTATTTTAGGAAGGAATCCTGGTAGAGCCTGTAAAAGCCTTTGGGTTGGTGGGATAGTTAACCTCCCTGCAAAATAATGACCCCTTTACATGTGACCAGAGCTACAAAGGAATGTGATCAGGGTTACTCATATCTGCTCCTTCATGTTCAGTGTCCTGTATATTTTAGATGTGTCTGTGCTTCAACACACCTGAGTCAAATAATCAGGTTAAGACTAAAAGACTAAGAACTTTAACTTAATGCTAAGAAGGTAAATCAGCAATTTGATTCTGGTGTGTAAGCAGAGACACATCTAAAAGAAGCAGAACGCCAGACTTCGAGGACTTTAATTGAGGAACCCTGGTTTAGATCAAAGCAAGGTCTTGAATAAAAAACGTCCTAGTCAAAGTACAGATGTCATTGATGAATTTTCCCTGAGTTTGAAGACAAAAATATAAGGGTAAACATTCTGCCACGACACATAAGGCTAGTAAAGGTTTACCCTAAGAATTCAGAGGTGGTATTGCATTTAGAGGATTCTATAAAGTAAAGACTCAGAGTGGAAGCTGAAAACAAATTTTAGACCCAATTTTCAAATTATAATTTGAAAGCAGTTGTTTCTTTTTTGTAATCAATTGCTTTAAAATCTGGTTGCAGGGCAGCTGGAAATACTTTTAAACAAGGAATGCTGTGAAATAGTTTTTGTTTTTTTCCGAACAAAAGACCTATGAGCCTATAGGCCTATTTAAAACATAATAAAATTAAATAAGTAAATAGATTGAGATTCACTACTTCATTGTCATATACACTTCAGTGGACGCAACCAGGGTCTTTAACACACAGACATCAGTTTTCAGGTGAATATATGCACTATTAATTAAACTTCACAATAAGACTGTGACAATGTAGAAATTTGGTCAACTGACTGGAACCTGAGTCACTGTGTTTATGTCACAAGTGACTCTATTAGCTCCAAAATCCTTTTACACAAACCGTAAAGAATTAATTATATTATTATACTATTTGCACTTTATTGAACAGTTCTCCATTACTCAAAGAAAACAACAAAATAACACTCTAAGATATGAGAGTGCACAGCGGCACTGTGCTCTTACTTTGAGCTACAGGCAGGCTGGCCTGCCTGGTTATAGGTGTCTAAATGTTGAGGTGCAATCTGAGGTCATGAAGTCAAAGTATCTCATAAGCGGAAAAAACCGAAATGCGTTTCTGTGCCGTATTTCCTCCTCGTTTCTGTCATTAGACTATGTAAATTTACTAGTCTGCGCCAGCAAAAGGGATACCACGCTCTAGCTTGCTTGACCTTGCCATGACAATGTACTTCCATGAACTTGTGTTGATTAGGCTTCAAAAAAATAAAAAAAAGTAAAAATCATTTCCCAAAATATTCATAAGAAATGTATAAATTGTGCAAAGTATTTTAAATAAATTTTATAATCTCCCTCTTAACCTCCCCACACCCCCAGCACCCTCACTTCCCGCGGCTATGTGTGGTTGTAGCCTGCCACTATGTGAAGGATTTGTGCAAGATAGTTACTGCGTGTACTCTGCATCTGGGCCTTTGTCTCTTAGATGCATGTATGTTTCTCCCTCATAGTTGGTCCAGACATTCCCCGGATAGATGTAACCCCGTACAGTATAACAGAGCGGGGTTACTCAGCACTGGAGAGAGAGACTGTTTCATTGATGTGTCAAGCCCAGTCCAACCCTGCCAGCCAGTACGTTTGGTTCTACAACAACTCCCAGGTGTACAGCGGGCCGCAGTTCACCATCACCAAGGTTCTTCGCATGCACACAGGAGATTATGCCTGCTTGGCCCAGAACACATACCTGAACACCCGCTCCAAAAAAACCATCAGCCTGACTGTCTACTGTGAGTTTGGCCTCAATGAATGATGTTAATAACCACAAAGCTCTTTTGTCCATCCTGTATTTTTCAATTCCAGAATGTTTCTTCTGTCTTGGTACCATAAAAGGCAGAACTAGAGATGGGGTCTTTCCTCCTTTGCCTTAACCTCTGTTTTTTCATTTTCAAACAATAAGTATTTTCTCTCTTTCTGCATCTTTACACAATTTATTATTACAGTCTTACTCAATCAGACTTCAAGTCAAACACACAATCCATCATGAATACACAAAACAGAAAACAAGTCCGTCGGATTCATTGAAATGGAGTGAGATTCTGATGGCACTCTGATGGATGGTACCCTTTGGCAAGTATAGGTAGAACATGGAGGTTACATCTTGTCATTTACTCTGCTTTTTAATTATCATAAAATTAAATACCCAGCATCTAAAGAATGTTTCTTAGTGAATTCATCTCCACTTCGAACATCACTTCGTGGCCACTCTATGTCTCATTCCTGCAGACCCTCCTGATGGCTCCCCCTCATGCTCTGTGGAGCCAGCTCTGAATCATACCGCTCTAAAGCTGCTCTGCACCTGGCCTGGTGGGTTCCCCTCCCCGTCACTGGACTGGACTGGGGACCTGGAAAATGCTAGAAAAATCCAGGCTGACACTGAACAGCAATCTAATGTACAAAGTGGCACTGCAATCCTTCTACCCTCCGGGAACTTGACTTCTAACAACACCTTGTTCAGATGTATGGGCTCCCATCCTACCCTAAAACAATCCACAGAGTGTGGCACACGCACATGTGAGTACAAAAAGAATCCAGCAGATGATACATCAAATTGTTGCTCAGTTGATTGTCCATTTTCTATCTCTGTACCTCTCTTACAGATATTCCCCCTGCAGAACCAGTATGTTTTGCCTTTGTCACAAACAATCAGCAATATCTTATGCTGTCCTGCTCCTGGGATGGAGGGGCCCCAAAGGCCTTAGTGTGGTGGGAGGGACCAGGGGGCCAAAGCAAAGGAGGACAAGAAAACTCCAATATTCTAGTCCTTCGTTATGGAACTGCACGAAGTGGGAAACCGTATACCTGTTATGCTAAACACCCACTTCTGATGGAAGCAAAGAGCTGCAGGCTCACATTGGGTCAGTTCTTATCGTCACTGTACAAAATCAAAAATAATGATTCTATCTTTCTAATGCTTCATGCCTTTATTTTCTAGAGGCCCCTGTGTTGCTGACGCAGCGCAGAGTCGTGTCAGTGTACGAGGGGAGCGACGTGCAGCTCACCTGCAATCTAAGAGCCAATTACCTTCCAGCCAAAGAAATTACTTGGTTCAACAATCAAGGCATAGATGTCAGAGACACCCCTAAGTATATGCTGCTCCGGACGACCGGCTGGGCCAACCTGACAGTGAGAGACGCAGACGAGATGCAGGACAGCGGAGAGTATAGATGCTCCACTTCAAACGCAGTGGGAGGCGCTGAAATCAATGTAACTCTGGTGGTCAAGAGTAAGAATTGGATTTTAACTTTCCTTCGAGCACCATAACTTACTCAGGCACTCTCAATCTGAGCTAAATTTGTCACTTTCATACAGTTTTTATTTCTGAAAGCCTTCAGCTGATCCAGCAAAAGTTCTCATGAAAATAAAAAAAACAGATCATATTTCTCCTTTCCTAGCATCTCTCCAATGGCTTGCAGGTAAATCTAGAATAGAATTTAAAATCCCCATCACATATAATGCCCTAAATAACCAAGCTCTTCTTATATCAGAAATCTGATCATTTCTTATGTTCCTAACAGAGCACATGGCTCTTATCTGCAGGTTTTTTAGTTGTTCCTAAAATTTCTAAAAGTATAATGAGAGGCAGATCTTTTAGTTATCATCTACCGTAGAACCAACTACCAGTTTTAGTCTGTGAGGCAGACACCTTGTCTATTTCTAAGGCAAGGCCTAAAATGTTCCTTTTTGATAAAGCTAGATTTTCTTAGGTTATCCTGAGCTATCTCTATAGTTATGCTGCTATAGACTTAGACTCCTGGAGGACATAGGGATCACTTTTCATAATTCTGCTTCATTCTATCTCTATTTTCCCATTCTGCAGTATTTGTTAAGTTCCAAACATTACTTTATGTTTCCTCTGCTTTATCTTGTTGTTTTATTTTTGTCAGAGCATCCTATGCCACCCAATGCAACCCTGATTAGAGCAACATACAACAGCCCAAAGCGTACCGAGGTGGAGCTGGAGTGGCAGCTAGATGGTGTGGAGGAGAAAGGAGGTTGGACTGGATTCCATCTGGAGCACCAGTGGGTATCTGAGCGACCAAACAGAAGAGGAAGCAGCAACGAATCCCAGCTGAGGATGGAAGAGAGGATTGGTCCCCAAGACTGGCAGCGCACCATCATCCAGGAACCAGATGCAAGGAGTCACACAGTAAGAGGACTGACTCCAACTGTTACCTACCAGTTCCGCATAATACCCATCAACCATCGCACGATTGGACACCCCTCTCCAACAAAAACTCCAGGTACAATAAGCACACTCTTAAAAAGGAAGCATACAAACAAGATTTTTAAAAAGTGTATAAATGCTAATCTCATTAGGCAATGCACATGTTAAATAGGACCTGGTAATATCTTTAAACTGTGAACATGAGAGTTTTGTGCGATGGCAGTTCTGATTACCTTATTAACATTTTTTTTCCTTTTTATCCTCTTAGGTGAAAGACACACATCCCAAAAAAACAAATCCACATATTAACACATGAGACTAACACATTCATTGAGCTTCTATCTTTTTCTGTTTCCTTTTCTCTAATCTCTAAACTGTTTAAAATCTGACTCCATTTAGTTCTAATACAATATTAAAGGCATTTTTCCATTTAAAAATGCTGTTATACTGTATATATTTTGAAAAGTCTAACTTGGTTAATTAACTGACTTAAGATCGAAGGGTTTGTTAAGTCAGACATCAGAGATGGATTATACATGTTAATGGAAATATCAAATAACTATAGGGGAATTTTTCCTAATTAAATTCCAAGTAATGTATTGTAACATTTATGGTGTATCTGCAGCCCATACTGTTAAGAAAGAACTCTTACAGGAAATAATTGTCAGGGTGAAGTGCTCTTTTTGTTTTTTATTTCTAAGGTGTACTATTTTGCAATGTGTAACTTTGGTGTATTGCAGCGGAACCGCGCCACAACATGTACCCAGCTGTGATTGGGGCGGGTATAGGCGGAATGCTCTTTGCAGCCATTCTCACAGTCCTGCTACTAATTTTCATAATTCGCAACCGCCACAACAATCCCAGTGAGTCCTTCACAGCAGTAGCAACATTTTGCAAATGTAAACTATGAAGATGAAGCTACCGAAACTTTTCGCGGTATTAATAATGTGTTTGTTTCACCAGGACTGCATGACATGCTGTTTGGCTTGTGAGTATCTGAGTGTTCCTACTTGCTATATCCTAAGAGGCTGATTATCAAAGCAAATAATCCATGTTTTACTTTCTATTTATAGACAGCACAGCCAGTCAAGAGAGAACATTAATTTTCCAGAGGATGAAATGTTCAGAGGGTCAGAGGGAATAGAGGACATTGGTGGATCATCCAGCCCAGGCAAGAAAAACTTGCTTAAAAAATAATTAATTTTCCCTTCTTTTAATAGCAACATCACATTTTGCAAGTCTGTTATTTATTTTTTATTTTTTTTATAATTAAGGAATACAAAGATTTTTTTAACAATTGTAGAAGTATCAAAAATCAAACTATCAAACATCAACCTAAAATAAAAACGATTATTAAATATGCTTGGATCACATCCAAGTAATTTAGGAATAGGGATGAATGAGTGTAAGAGCTGATAGGCTTTCATGTATAAATTAAAACCTTTCACCAAATTACAAAACCGATGTATACATCGTTTTGTAATTTGCGGCATGGTGTTTCAATATAGTTTTATTTATTTTTTTTTCCTGCATTTTATAATGAACAAAAACCTTTGCAGATGTTTCACATGGCAAGACCACAAACCAGATATATTACACACATGCGCCATGAGTAAACAGGGAAGTAATAAAGACTATTTGTACCTCATCAGTAAGCCTTGAAGTACAGAAGAATTAAGTTAACTACCCATTTATTCAAGTCGGTGTGGCTTAAATGGAAAGGTGAATGTATTAATGAGGAGCCAGGAAACACCTCAGAGGACAGTGGACCCAGAGGATCTGAGTTGGGAAACATTGGTCTTAAGTGCATTTTTTGCTCTACACAAGGAGCAGCTATTACGTAGTTGATCTGTTTCAATAAGCTATTAATTATTCCAAAATGCTTTGCACTTATTCAGTCCCAAGCATTAAATCAGACTCCAAAAAAATGTAATTCTCTATGTGAGGGATTGGCAGACAGCAACAAAATGCAAGTATCGTCGCCACATGCCCATCCAAGCGGAGCATGTCCTGCACGCCAAAGGTTCGATGCAATCAGATGGTTTTCTTATAGGAACCTTTTGCCAATCTGAGCGTAGGATATGACTAAGAGTGTAAAGTTGCTCTGAGATGAGATGTGTTGTGAAATGGTGCTTTGTAAAATTTAAAGGATTTTAAACTGAAACATAAGAAAGCAAGCTGACATTAAAACCCTTAATTAACCAATTGTCAGTTCTTTGCAGGCAAAGTAGAAGCTGAACAGATATTAGCAGATATAAGTTTATTTAGGATGAAATAATAAAAGTATTTTTGATTATGGATCAAATGTTTGATATCAATACTTCTGCTGATTTTGGCTCCCATCTGTGCTGAAGGCAAAACTTGGGTCTCTTGCAGGCCCTGCTGTGTCTATACCCAGGGCATCCTCACCCCTCACCACCTCACACCTGAGTGCCACTCCCACCCCTAGCAGCCAAGCGCCTCCCCCTGGAGAGGATAACGAGCCTGTCAGCGTCACAATTACGGTCAAGGCAACTGGATCCTAAAATAAATCACCAGCATGTCAACTGCGTTTCAAACTGGAGCTCCTGTATATAGTTTAGTGAACCTAAAGCAAAATTTAGATGTTCTTGTAAAAAGATCCTTCACAGATGTCATTCCAAGCTAGCTGAACAGATAAAAGATGTATAATTTGTGTTTTGTATTTATATTTTATTTAACTTTGTGACTCCTTCTTCATTTCATAATTTAACCGCAAATAAATGTATCAATAGAATAAAAATCTGTACTTATTCAACTATTCCAGTATGATATGCTTATCATAAAAGAACACAGCAAAAAAGGTTTTATTAATTTATTCATCTTTGAACTTTAAGATTGAAACATCGGAACTCTACAGTCTTTACAAACAGTATTGTTGAAAATCATGACTGATACTAGAACCAACATATCACTACACAGAAGGTATGACCTACCCTCAAGACTTGCTTTTTTATGTCCAGATGAGATAACAAAGACAAATGTTAACAAAAACATGTAAATATATACAGTTTGCTTCTCTATGATGGTCTGTGTTTTCTCTGTGGAAGTTTTTTTTTTATGGCATGGGAAATAAAATCTTCGGGGAGCAGACCACCTCGCCGAGCTTCTGCTTGATCTTCACAAAGAGACGCTTGAACTCCAAACCGTCACCCTGAAAAAGGCAGAAACTTTAGCATAGCAATATTTCAGTTCTTCTTTTATACCCTAATACTTCTTTTGTGGCCCATAACAGTTAAAACATCAAAGGAATTTTAACTTTCTATCTGACCTTGTTCCAGAGATGTAAAATAGATAATAGGACTGAGGCAATAAATCAGATTTTATTGAATGATTAAATTTACCATGAATAGAGATCTTTTTGTAGAAAAAAAAAAAGAATCAGTATTTTTATTTACATTTTTGAAAAAAGTTTCTTTTTTTCTATGTAATCTCTGGGCTTCCGTAGTTCTGACTGAGGCCAGCCCGTTACGTTTTGTTCTTAGATGTATACTAATTTAAAACTGTTAAACTAGCCTAATTTGTAATGCCACTAGTTGCAAACATATTGTTTTTTTTTTATGATGACAGGATCCGACAGCTTTTTTTCCAAGCATGTTTTAAAGCTTGTATCTAGTCGTACTTTGAATTCAGGTAATCTCCCAGAAAGGATGATTGACATTAAAGCAACTTAAAAAAAAAAATTCCTGTGATTTGTGGTTTTTTTTGTATCAAAGGGGCAAGTAGTAATTCTTTAAGAATTCTCAAAGAATTGATATGAAAATTGATTCAGAATCATATAATTCTTTTTCTTAATTCATCCTTAATTTCTAAAAGTTGAGGTGCTGTTAAAAACGTTATTTTACTAAACCTCCAAAGTGAGTTTTACAGTTTTCTTCTAAATTTTCCATTAACAATGCTTTAGTTAGATGGAGGACTGAGAGGCACTTTAAACCGATAAAAAACTGGCATAGTTTCTTCTAGTGAAAATAGAATACCTTTTTGTATTTTAGTGACTTATAAAATATATTTTTTTAAATGCTACAAACATTAAAGCACAGATACAATATGTTGATAAAATACAATATGTTTTATTTACAACACAGGAGTATAGAACTAGCCTAGACTAGGCCTGCGTGATTTTGCCAAAAATTCAAAGTGCATTTATTTTTAACCAAAACTGTGTTTTTATGTTATTGTACAGTGAGCCCTCGTTTTTCGCAGGGGTTACTTTCCCAAAAGAACCAGTGATAGGGCAAATCTGTGAAACTAAAACTTAATTTTTTTTACAATTATTATTAACACTCTACAGCTCTACAGTATTGTTCACCAATGCTTCTGCATTAGCAAGCGCTAGGTTCTCTGTGAGCATCACTTGTTGATGGCCCAGGATCAGCATCCTCCTCCACTTCCCCATCATGTCTCTGTCAGTTTGATTGTGTTCTAGCGTTTGTGCAGAAAACGTTGGTATCCAGCGTATTGTTGTTTTTCAGCAGAAAGCTAATGCAGACTCCATCCTTACCATGATCTCGTTGCAGACAGTTGCAACCCTTTTTGCATTCTTGTTCAAACTTATTGCTGTTGTCATCCCTATGTTATTTTCCTCCTTCTTTATGGAACGAACGGAAGATTAATTAGTAACGTAACGGCCAACTACAGCCGCATAGCTTCTACCCTCCTTTAGTATGTCCAGAAGTTTAACCTTACTGTGATAGTTAGTATCTCCCTCTGCCTTTTTGGCCTGTCTGCAAGTGTCTTTGTCAGTGCAGAATGTTTAATCAACATTATGGGTTTTGTAGAAAATTTTGCAAACTTAAATTTGGCAAGCTTTGTTACGTACATGTAGATCAAAATATTAAACCATAATGTTACTGACACACAAATAGAGAAGAAGCGTGGAGACTGTTTAGCCAATCAGAATGCAGAACAAACTGCAAAATGTAAATCTACAGCCAACAAATACAACTGATAGTTAAACGTGTTTGTAAACAAGATCTAAATTAGGGCTGGAAATCGCAATTATTTTGATAATCCATTAATCTATCGATCATTTTTTTTACATTAATCAATTAATGATCAGATAGTAAAAGGTTCCTTAAAGAATATTTTATGCAGAATAAAAACAGGTAAGACTAAAACTTTTCAACTTATGGAGTTCTTCATAGAGTATATTTACAGAATTTTTTTTAATATTAAATGCAAGAATTGATTTTTTTTCACAATTTTGTAGATTTACTGCTCTAAGTAGGTTGCTCTGTCAGCCAGAGACATGTTTAAGAGTCTCTATACTCCAGTTAACACTGGATTACTAAATTAGTTGACGACTATTTTAATAACTGATAATCACGATTAATCTGAATAATTGTTTCAGCCCAAATCTAAATACAAATTGAATTTTTTTTTTTTTTTTTTTTATCATTATGAATATTTTGATTCATAGGGATAGTTTGTTTAGAACATAAGTCCTTGTTGGACATAAATTGCACACAGGTCTATTCATTTAACAGTTTTGCTGGTACTTCATCCCATGGAGAGATTCCTCAATGTTTAAGGTAGTGATTATACCTGGGGCTGCACACAGTCACCTTTCTTTAAACCAAAGCACTACCAGATGATGGACAAACGTTTATTAAAAAAAACGTAAAAAAAACAAAAAACAGAATGACAATTTTCTATATTTCTGTTTCTGCCCTTTTTCTGCATTCAAACGATAAACCAATCAGAAATGCAACAACTTACCTTAGACAGCCTGAAATCCAGCAAAACTTGCTGGTTCATCTGAAGCACAAACACTTTGAAGATTAGCTTGTTGTTACGTTTGTCCAGAGTGCTCACAGTAACCTGAAGAAGAGGAGGAACTTCATGTAGATAAAAACTGGATATAGTGAAAGCGCTTCTTAATCATCATTACTTTGGCTCAGCCGGCTTACCTGTTGGGTGCAGGTGAGTTTGAAGGTGAGCGCCATTCCGTCACAGACGTCTTTCAGGGCAGATAAGGAGGCATCAGCGTTAACGTTGGTAAAGAAGCGAGTCATTCTCCGGACTAATCTTTGCCATGGCGACTATTTACAGAGACAAACACAAAGGGAGAGCGTTTAAAACACGATAGAGGAATGATATCTGCTTTGGATGCCCTTGGATTCCTGCAGTAGTGAGTTTGTGAATTACCTGGCTGGCTCCAGGCGTGCACAGCAGCTGACTCCCCAGTAACATGTGCTCAGGTTTGGTCGGCTGGGAGAAGCTGACCTGTCCTTCAGTTGGGCTGATTACCAACATGGCCTTCCACCCTCCTGGAGCAATATCAGGCTGCGAGCTGGAAATCTGCATCCTGTCATCACTACAGACAGAAAAAGATCACTTTACTTTAGATTTCGGCTCAAATTGCACCAAAAACATCCCACAGGACCAAGGTTGTCACCTCTTCTGCCGAGATTTCAGCTCCAAATCTTTTCGAGGAACTTTATTCGGTCCTGATTCCTGACAACCTACAGAGACCAACAAGCAGCAATCAGCCACGTGAAAGAAAGAAAATAAGATATATGATGGAGTAATACATCTGTTAAAAGAAACTGCAATTTCTCAATGAGAGAAAAGACAAAAAAAGTAAAAACCAAAGAAATGAAAACTTGTTATGATTGTATAATTAACATGTTTTACCCGCATGTCTATAAACATCAACACAAAGTAAGGAGGTCTTTTGAAAATGATGTTAAAACTAATCCCAGATGTAGCGAGTTATCAGGCTTGCCTTCTGTAAACCAGCGGTCCTTCTTTATCTCGGCAAGCGTCAGTCTTGCATCAACATGGGGAAGCAGCAACTTGGACAAAAAACCTAAGAATCCATGAAAAAAAAAAAAAAAAATTTTTCTAGTACTTAGAAATTACTAGAAAAGAAATTACTAGTAACTAGACATTTAATCCAAATACTTTTATTGTAGATTCTTTTCAGCTGTAACACCACATTAAAGTTAGGAAAGCAGAAGTACAGAAATATGATGATATGAAGAATTTAGGAGGACTTGCTAACTTCTTAAACAATGCATTTACCTGCAGTTTAAAAAATAAAATTGGCATTTAAATACCAAACATTTAGTATTCTGTTTTTATACAAATCTGGAACAAAATCTGTATCTTCTAAACCAACTTAAATAACTCAGAAGATAAAATATCCTAAAAAAGTTTGAACAACTCTGTAATATCCTTATATAGTTATCCAACACAGGTTTTATCTGAGATAACTGATTTTTAGGATAGCTTTTAATGATTGTGAGTTTATGCAGAGGTTATTTCAGAAACCAAACCACTAAACCAACCACTAAATACTAAACCAATAAATAAAATAAAGGAGCCAAGTACGTGAATGTAAAACTTACTTTATATGTCTGAGCTCTTAAATTTAATATTTAAACTATTGTGCAATTTATTTAAACAAATATTCTTATTTTTATGGATCTAAAATGGAATATAATTTCTTTAAGATAACATATGAACCCTCTATTAAACATCAATTAATTTAAGTTTAGCAAACATCCAAACTGAGACATTTTGATTTCATTAAAGCAGGGAGAGATTTCCATTTTCACAGATTATGAGTTATTATCATGGTGGTTATCATGAATGTGACTCTCGACTCATAGAACTCACTAGTAATGTGAATGCACACTGGCAGTTTCAGAGTGAATTGTGGACTTAAT